AGGTATGTACAACAATGTTCTACTAATTTTTCTATTTTTTGTAGAGACAGTCTTACTCTTGCTCAGGCTGGTCTTAAAACTCCTGGCCCAAGGCAATTCTCCCACCTCAGCCTCCCAGAGTACTAGGATTACAGCTGTGAGCTACCACAATAGCCAACTATTTGTTTTTGAACATAAAATTCACCTTCAACTCTTAAACGATTCAAAATCAGGACTAGAGGATTTTAATTTTATCTCTTCTAGTTTAACATCTGAGTTTCTTCTCTTTCATGCTGAGAATATTGCTTCCCCGCAACACTGGGAATGACAGAATGAGAATATCACACAATTACTCATTTGCTTTGTTCCACATTACAGTAAATGCTTTTTAAATGTTAATTCTCTTTGATGCTTTACCTCCCTCCCCTTATAAAGGGCAAAGAATTCTTCCCCATAATTTTCCCTTGTGATATTTACAAAGAAAAGAGGAATGCCTTTTCATTTAACTTCTTGAGAGCCCTGTGGTTATGAGTCCTCAGTAATTTCTGGAAGAGGTCCATGCAAGGATGATCTTGGCCCCAAGTTGTGCAAAGAGTGTTCCTGAGAGATGACAGTGCAGTTTTGTCTTGGGTCCAGAAAACCAAGACACCTTCTTTCTCCAGGGCTAATGGTAGAGGTGGATAAGGAACTGGCAATTACAACCTATTACAGGGAATGCAAAATGACTGCTGGAAAACACAGGAGGCACTTGTGCTAATCTCACTGCTGGGGTACAGGGGGAAGGCTTCCAAGAGGAGGGGACTTCTAATTAGGGTCTTGAAGGAGAAACAGAAATTAGTGATGTTGGCAGTTAAAAGTGAGGTGGGAGGAGAAAGGATTTTCAGGTATAGAAGGAGTATCAGGCAAAGGTTCCAGGAATAGGAGAGTCTGGTTCCCAGGGGAACAGCAGATACAGAGCTGCCTGCTAGGTAGTACAGGGAAGGTCAGAGAGTGCGCTGATTATCTGTGCTATACGGTGCCCAGGACTTGGCAGGTGCTCAACTATCCAATTTCAGGAGAAGAGTATACTTTCTAAGGACAACTATAATAACAACAATGATAACAAGCTCATTGGAATTACTAAGTGAAAGATACTGTGCCAAGAACTTTACATAAATTATCTAACCATTACAACCATCCTCCCCATAGGCATTCCCTTCTGCATTCAAGAAAGCAAGTTCAGGCCCTGTGCTGCCTGCAATCCCAGCACTATAGGAGGCCGAGGCAGGAGGATTGCTTACTTCAGGAGTTCCAAACCACACTGAGCAAGAGTGAGACTCCATCTCTACTAAAAATAGAAAAACTAGCCAGAGGCCAGGCTCATGCCTGTAATCCCAGCACTCTAGGAGGCCAAGGCAGGTGGATTGCTTAGCTCAGGAATTCAAGACCAGACTGAGCAAAGGCAAGACCCTGTCTCTACTAAAAATAGAAATATTTTAGCTGGGCGTTGTGGCAGGTGCCTGTAGTCCCAGCTACTAAGGAAGCTGAGGAAGAGGATCTATAGCCCAGGCAACAAAGTGAGAATTGGTCTCAAAAGAAAAACAAGTTCAGAAAGATCAAGTTGCACTGTTTCTAAGCAGAAAGTCAAACATCCTTTATGACGCAGGGCATTTATTTGTTTACACATCTGTCTCCCTCTTCCAGATTGTGAGCCTTGTAATGTCAGGGACTGCATCTTATCTCTGTATCCATGGGCCTGAGAGCAGGGATAGTACAAAGTAGACAACAAATACTTACTAAACTTCTCCAAACCCCAGTTTTCCTCCTAGGAGAAATGGAGGTAACATTATCCATCTCATGGGGCCACCAAGAGGGTTAACGGAGATAATGTCTAAAATGGGCTTAGCAGAGCACTCAGCACATAATACTCCACAAATAATATCTCCTAATGATCATCACTATTATGTTATACAACAATATCATTAAAGAATTAGCATGAATGATGTAAATTAATTTAAGTAGTGACTTTGGCCCATGGTAGGAGTGAACTTTAATATTCTTTGTCCCATGGACTGGGGATAACTAAATGCATCTCTATTTATTGTATTATTTTTTGTATTTTGTTATTTCTGTTTCATTCATTTTATTTTAGTTTTCCTATTTATTTATTTAGAGACAGAATCTTGCTCTATCCCCCTGGCTAGAGTGCAGTGGCATCATCATAGCTCACTGCAACCTCAAACTTCTGGGCTCAAGTGATCTTCCTGCCTCAGCCTCCCAGGTAGCTGGGACTACAGGTGTGTGTTATCACATCTAGCTAAGTTTTCTACTTTTTGGTGGAGATGGGGTCTGGCTTTTGCTCAGATTGGTGTCGAACTCCTGACCTCAAGCAATCGTTCTGCCTTGGCCTCCCAGAGTACTAGAATTATAGACGTGAGCCACTGCACCCGGCCCTGTTTCTGTTTTAGATTAAATTAGACACAACTCCAAGCTTCACCCATAAAGTATCTCTTGATTCTCGGACAAAAATTCACTCAAGTGAGCTGGAAGGTGAAAGGCGCAGGATGAATGCCTCCTTTTTCTGTGCTGCTTTTGGCTTCTTGGTGATCTCTCCCTCTCTGTGGAGAAACCATAAAGACACAAACAGAAAGATATTAAAAAAAATTGTGAGCAAGAAAATGAAGAGAGGAATCCCTAGGATTTTGTAAACAGCCTAGAAATCAAACCACCCCAGGGAAGCACTTCAGAAGGCTGGGAAATGGCATACAGGACACAACTACAAGAGGGACTCTACCTAACAAATGCAAACATTCTCACCTAATTGTTTATATGCCACATGAATCTAAAATAAAAAATAAATAAAAAGAAGGCTAGGAAATGAAATTGATAAGACTATGTAAATTGTCCAAATGTACCAGATGGAGATTTATACAACCAATGAAGAATTTGGAGATGAATTATGATAAGTACATTTGACAAAAATAAAATAAATAGACTTTGTTCCAGGGATAGTGAAAGTTTTGCAAGAAAAGAAAAATAACCATAGTACACTCCACGGCTCAGCAGCAGTAGTAGTTGATGGTATCATCATGCTGGTTTTGGGTTTTGTTTTTTTTTTTTTTTTTTTT